CCTCCTCTTCTTCTTCTTCTTCTTCTTCTTCTTCTTCTTCTTCTTCTTCTTCTTCTTCTTCTTCTTCTTCTTCTTCTTCTTCTTCTTCTTCTTCTTCTTCTTCTTCTGTATGGAGAATGGGTTAGATCGTATCAGCTTTTCCACTGCCAAAGAAGGAACATAAGTGGCTCAGTCCCCTGCAGTGTTCCCTCTAAGCTGAGTTAGTGTGAGCTAGCTCACAGTTTTTTAGCCTCCGGCTCACACATTTTTGTCTCAGCTCAGGAAGGGTGGCTCCAGAGCACACTAAAGGTATGCAGCAGCCAAATCGCTCGCTCACAACTTTAATGCCAGCAGCTCACAAAGAAGAATTTTTGCTCACAAGACTCCACAGCTTAAAGGGAACATTGGTCCCCTGCACCGCAGTCTGCTATCGTGCATAACTTTTGACTACATGGGTAAAACGGAGGTTGCACTTACCTGTAACCATTGCTCATCGAGTGGTCTTCTGTGCAGGCACACATGTGGCTAGCCTGCGTAAGCGCAGTCCCATGTGGGACTGCACAGAAGCCACGCTGATGAACGTAATTGTCACATTGTGGTTTTGGGGCTGTGGGTCAGAAGGGCTCCCGTTTTCTCTTGCACTAGTGGAAAAGCAGATAGGAACAAACAAATCCATTATTCTTAGATCAGCCGGAGACATTCCCAGAGCTGGCTGACAAATCCGAGGGAGACCGGCGAAAACATTTTTGGGGGTTGCCACTGAAGTCCTGGCACAAAGGCAACATTGATATGATTGGGGTTGGTTTTTTTAATTATAAAGGCAAACAACATCATAAGGTTAAAATATATACAACTCCACAGTAATAAAAAATGATTATCTGCTTACGGGAGGTGGGGGCAGGAAGGAGTGTTTTTCTGCAGAAATCCATCGTCAAGGTTTGTCTCAAAGCCAGCAGGTTCTCTTGAAGGGGTCTGATGAGTGAGATTAAGTCAACTTGGCGGCTCAGAGTTTAAAATTCTGCTTTAGATGATTGCAAAGGGCCCGGCGTTGTGGGGCAAGCCACAGAGAGGCAGCTGGAAAACTGTATTACCACTCGGGTTGCCAGTTCCAAGCTGGAGAAGGACCTCGGCAGGGTATAGTGCAGTAGAGTCCACCCTCCAAAGCAGCCGTTTTCTCCAGGGCAACAGATATATGCCACCTGGAGAGCAGTTGTCATTCCAGGAGATCTCCAGCCCCCACCTGGAGGTTGGCAACAGCGGATGAGTGACCACCTCCCTCCAAAATCATCCTCACCACTGATCAAGCTTCGAGAACTGAGCCACCTCCTTCTCTGCGCAGGGCCTTTTATGCTCTCCGTCAGAGCTCCGCCTCCTTGACAACGATTGGTGCCTGTTTTCCCGCCATTTCCCCCCCAGTCCAATCCTGAAGCTTGGAAGGGGCCTGGGAAATGTAGGCCTGTTTCAAAATCTATACAAGGCCCTCAGGCCTTTGAGGAAGAGAGACCTTTTTGAGGCCTACAGGCTGCTGCTTTCCTCAGCCTTAAGCCTAAGAGATTGGGAGGGGAGCAAGCCACAGAGCGAGGATACGGGGCTGGAAAGCTGGATAACCGAGACCTTGATCTGCTTCTTTCCTGTCAGTTTGATGAGCGAGAGTAACAACATTTTGTTAGCTGTTAGTCAGTTTGGTGTCGTGCGAGGAGCATGGACTCTAAACTGGGAGAACTGGGTTTGAGTCCCCACTCCTCCCCATGCAGCTGCTGGGGTGACCTTGGGTCAGTCACAAGTTCATTCAGAGCTGCTCTCTCAGGAGCAGTTTTCGAAAGAGCTCTCTCCGCCCCACCTACCTCACAGGCAGTGTTCCCTCTAAGCTGAGTTAGTGTGAGCCAGCTCACAGTTCTTTAGCCTCCGGCTCACACGTTTCTGTCTCAGCTCAGGAAGGATGGGGCTCCAGAGCAGACTAATTTAGGCAGCAGCCCAATCGCTCGCTCACCCCTTTCATGCCAGGAGCTCACAAAGAAGCATTTCTGCTCACAAGACTCCACAGCTTAGAGGGAGCATTGCTCACAGGGTGTCTGTTGTGGGGAGGGGAGCAGAGGAGAGGACTTGCGAGAATGGGTTTAAATTAGGGGTGGGAATGTACTGGTTGGAGATTAGGAAAAGCTCTTTTACAGTCAGAGTTGTGCAACAGTGGAATTAGCTGCCCGGGGAGGTGGTGAGCTCCCCCTCACTGGCCGTCTTTAAGCAGTGTCTGGACAAACCCTTGTCAGGGATGCTCTAGGCTGACTAGACGGGCCCCTTCCCACTCTGTGATTCTATGACTCTATGATCTTTGCAAAAACTAATACGAGTCCTTTATTGTAAAGAACTCCTTTCTTGACAGGATAGAGCAGGGACAGGATTCTAATCTAGTCTAAATAGTTTGGATGGATGGAGAGGCAGGAGGCATGTCCTGCCCTCATGGTGTCAAGATGAAGAAGAACTGAGAGAGAGAGGGGGCGATTTCTCACTAGAGCTGCCTCCCAGCCGCAGCCTCCGTTTGCCTCGACACAAACATGTCAATTCCACACCCGAAGCTGCGGGGCTGCATTTTGACTCGCAGCTTCGCCCGATTTCCTCCACAGTTTCATGATCCTGGTTTTTGAGGATCACGAAACTGCAGAGGAAATCGGGCGAAGCCAGGGGTCAAATGCAGCCCTGCAGCCTCGGGTGTGAAATTTACATGTTTGTGTCGAGGCAAACGGTGGCTGCGCTGCGAGGCAGCTCTAGTGAGATATCGCCCAAGGTGTCAGCCGGAAGGAAGGGAGATTCCAGAAGAGTAGCAATTTGCACAACAAAGGAATCGCATCAGTTCAACAGGTGTTACCAGTCATAGGATATTGTGGGGGACAGTATCTAATTGGCTTGTTAATCATTTATGTTGTAAAATCATTACGAGCCATGTACCATCTCTTGCCTTTGGGCCGAGTTCAGACTGGCCGTTTGCCCCGATATAGGCATGTTTCAGAAACGTTCCACAACCGGATTAAAGGGGCCATTCACACAGGCACTTCTGTCAGGCGTTCCCCACCCGCACTCAACCCGTCTTGTAACGCTTCGCTCCCGAGTTTAAAAGATACCTGGTGAAAGTGGTAGCCAACCCTGGAAAGCGCGATTATCTCACATCCATCCCGCACCAACAAAATGTGAACGCCAAAAGCCGCGTTTTTCTTATGCGCATAAGCGCATATCTCCAGATTACCAAAATGAAAGCCGCGCCTTACAGCCAGGGCTCTTTTTGTAGAAAAAGCCCAGCAGGAACTCATTAGCATAATAGGCCACACCCAACAGCAGAAACACATTAGCATATTGGGTCACACCCCTGACAGCACAGCACATTAGCATATTAGGCCGCACCCCCATATTACCAGAAGTGTGGTCATCCAGCCACACTCACCTTTTGCTTCTTATTCTGTTTACCTTGTCAAAACGAGCTCTTTTTGTAGCAGAAACTCCTTTGCATGTTAGGCCACATACCCCTAATGTAGCCAATCCTAATGCATTTCTGCGGTTGGGTGTGGCCTATTATGCTAATGAGTTCCTGCTGGGTGTGGCCAACTCAGGAGCCAGCCAGAACTCCGTTCCTGTGCGTTCCTGCCCAAAAATAGCCCTGCTTACAGCCATGTCTCTGGGCCAACAGTGTGAATGCTCCCTTGCGCCTCCTCCCAGTATGCTCCCGCATCCGTCGCTGCAGTGTGAACGGGAAAACCCAGAACAGTTTGTTGCGGCTCTTTTTTGCCGCGACTCCCTCCCACTTCAAACTGCCAGGCTGAACTCGGCCTTGGTCTGTGCCAAGAGTTGCATGTCTTCCCTGAACGTTTCCTGGACTTTTATGCTGTCGTGGAACTCACAAGGTTCATGGCCTAGCCAAAGCCCCCAAACAGGTAGACAAACAGGTAACGAGTTTAAAGGTTGATTTCCCAGGCAAAGGGTGATGATCACAAAACAGGTCTGCAAGAAGTCACAATCTTACAGGGATGTTCCCTTCCATAATACTCTTACTTTATATAACGTTGAGCATGCACCAAAGCTGTAGCCTAAACCAAAACTTAAGACTTCTGAATAAATTTCCACTGCAGACCCCCTACACATTCCACGGGCTGTTTTTGGAAACCGGCTTCCTTGGTGTCTGGTACAGTCTCTTGGAGTTATTTATCCAGATGGTCTTAGCCAACTCCCCTAGATAAGCTTATCTCTATGCTTGGCACAAGCTTGTTCTCTTTGTAATTCTGCTTTTCCCAGCAGACGCCCACTTGCAAGTTGCAAAGCAATTAAACATGGCGCTGGTGATGCTAAGCTGTATTTTTATACTGCAATGCCAAATATTCCCCACCCAGCCTCCCTTCTCTGTGGAGTTGCAACCCACTTAAGATAAGCAACTAAAACCAGCCGTTTTCTCCAAGGGAAATGACCTCTGTCAGCTGGAGAGCAGTTGTAGTCCTGGGAGGTCTCCAGCCGTCACCTGGAGACTGGCAACCCTAACTCTGCCCTTGACATAACACCACCGTATCCAAGCACCACGCTCTCCCAAAGAACCCTGTCCAAGGGGATGGGCTGTTCTCATGTTTCTGCCCCATTCCCCTGCGTTTTCTCTGTGGCTTGCTGTCTTTGTCCCATCTTGCCTGCCATAGTTTGTTGTAGGACTGTGCATGTACAGCAGTGACAGTGAACATAAGGGCTAGTGGCCACTGCGCACCGGAAGTTTGTAGGGCAAGGAACAGCTCCTGTTAAGTCACTCGCTTAACAAAACAGTCAGAGAGTGATTCAGGAAGAACACAGCTTTATTCTTCAACTCGAACACAACTCCAACACAGATCAACATCTGATAGCCAGAACAGCTTTTACATTGCAGCTGTCCTGCTTTTAAACTATCCCGGTTAATGTAGCCACACCCACTGTACAAATACCAACCAATAAGGTTTTCACATAAGGACCAATCACGGCCGTTCCCGCTCAGGGAGCTTGCTGTAAAGTGATTGGCTAGGTGTTTCCTGGGCTAGCAATACGATTGGATGGATTTGGATCCTAGCCCAGGACGAAGCTCACCACGGCAAGTCAATTAGATGTTTCACATACATCATGCATTCAATGGCAGCTATTGAATACATTACAGCTCCAGCCTCATTTTTTTATTATTAGCTAGAAGGCACTACGTCTTGCAAAGCAACCCGAATGGTACGGTGTGTTCTTTCAATTGACCCAAGTAGGCTGAAAACTACCTTCTCGGAACCAAGTTGCTAAATATGAGACCTGGATGGTCAAGGCTAGCTCAGTCATCAGATCTTGGAAGCTCAGGAAGTTTGGCCCTAGTGAAAGCCAAACGGGCCACTCACCTGGTGTGCCTTTGTAAGCATGCCAACCTCCGTCTCTCAGGAGGGGTCGGTTCAGCCAGCAATGGGCCCCATTGGGGTGCCCGAGGAGTCTATATACCAGGCATCTTGGCATAATTTATTTATTTATCATATTTATACCCCGCCCTCCCCGTATAGCAGGCTCAGGGCGGCTTCCATACAAACATAAATACAACTTAAAAATCATACCATATTTAAAACGCAACAGATAAAACAGATACAAATACAAAGTGCTGGCGGCACTTAAAATGAACTTAGATGGCACATTTTCAAAATGGATTTCCGCTCCCCAGATGTTCTCAGATGTTCTTCTGCTTGTAATTTCTTGTGGCATCAGCTCGATGTTAAAACCGCGGGCCAGGGCTCTACGGCAGCGGCGGCCCCTAATTAAATGCCTGGTGGAAGAGATCCGTCTTGCAGGCCCTGCGGAACTGTGAAAGGTCCCGCAGGGCCCTGATCTCCTCCGGGAGCTCGTTCCACCAGGTAGGGGCCGCCACTGAAAAGGCCCCGGCCCTGGTAGTAGCTAGCCTGGCCTCCCTCAGGCCAGGGAGGGTCAACCGATTTTGAGACCCAGACCGTAGTGCTCTCTGGGGTATATACGGGGAAAGGCAGTCCCGTAGGTATGTCAGACCCCGGCCATATAGGGCTTTAAAGATAAGTACCAGCACCTTGAAGCGAATTCGGTATGCTATTGGCAGCCAGTGCTGTGTCCTCAGCACAGGCTGGATGTGCTCCCACCTGGGGAGACACATCAATAGCCCGGCCGTGGCGTTCTGCACTAGCTGCAGCCTCTGGATTTGCACCAAGGGCAGCCCCATGTAGAGAGTGTTACAGTAGTCTAGTCTCGAGGTGACCATCGCGTGGATCACTGTAGCCAGGTCAACGTGGTCGAGGAAGGGAACAAACTGCATAATCAGCCTCAAATGATAAAAGGCCGACTTGGCAATGGCGGCTACCTGGGCTTCCATGGTAAGGGAGGGATCCAGGAGCACTCCCAAACTCCGAACCTCCAGCGCAGGGACCAGTGAGTCCCCCCCCCAGAGGTCGGGAGTGGGATCCCCACCCCCGAACCGCCCCGACCCAGGCACAAGACTTGGCACTATCAGCCCTAGATCCAGCACTTCTTTGCTTTCTTTTTTCAGTACAGGTGGTATTATTCTCCATCACTTTCTATGGTCATGGTTGTTGGGGCTGCCTCACCTGTACTGATCTTGAGCTGAGTGAGCTGTGTCCACCCAGGTTTGGAGGAAAACTCGTCAGCATACTCAGCCAAGACTACCAGTTTGGTGTAGTGGTTAAGTGTGCAGACTCTAATCTGGGAGAACCGGGTTTGAGTCCCCACTCCTCCACTTGCACCTGCTGATGTGACCTTGGGTCAGTCACAAGCTCTGGCACAGCTGTCCTTGAGAAAGAGCAGTTTGTGTCAGAGCTCTCTCAGCCCCACCCACCTCACAGGGTGTCTGTTGTGGGGAGGGGAAGGGAAAGGAGCTTGTAAGCCGCTCTGAGACTCCAAGTGAAGGGGGGGGGTATAAATCCAATCTCTTCTTCTTCTTCACCTGTACCAGCTGTTCATCAGTGAGAGCAGAGCAAAGTAGCATTTGACTACTTTTCAGAGTCAGATGTTAGTATGTTAACATGGTACAGCTTGTTATTTTCACCCTCAGGCAGAGGTCATTTCGGGGGGGGATGTGGGGGATCGCAGTTCCCCCGGGTGAGGTGCGAGG